GATCTAAAGGACAGGAACCCTACCAGCAAAACTTTAGGGAATTTCCAGTGTGAACTTATTTCCCACACAGCTCTAGAGTAATGAACATTATCTGAAGTCTATTGGTAACAACAGAAAATCTTCAGTAAACTCAAAGATTTTGTATCATTCCCTGTAAAAAAAATTTTTTTTTTACAAAAATATCTGTGTGGAGACAGAATGGAGAAAGAAAAGGCAATAGATTGCTAATACCCACACTAATGTATGAGTAATCACAACCCCAACAGCGGTGCCAGATCATAATGACCTCAGTGTAGTTCCTGTAAGAAGGTGTAGGTTGAAGAACTTTTTCTTCCACTTTCAGTGGCTTCTGCAAAAGGAAGAGTACGGCCCAAGGAAACAGATGGAAAAACATTTCTGACAGCTTAAGTGCAGTTAATTATTTGTAGGCGAAGCATTCTGCTATCAGCATTGATTTGCTGTATTTGAAACTGAAACAGTCATAGCACCAAAAATTTTATTCAGCGTTGCTTCAATTACCTGACTATATATAGGACAGGCAGAACCACAGAGCAACACCTTGCCAACAGGCTGCCTTTCCATCGCTTCCAGAAACAGGCACCTACAGGACACCACACTGTGTAGCTACCCCTTTGGCAAGCAGCTTGTTCAGGTCTCATGCACTCACATTTTTTTACATCTTCCACATTTTTCCTTTAAGCAGATTCAACAGTTACAAAAAAAAAAAAAAAAAAAAAAAAAAAAGAAGTATGGAAAGATTTCACAATCTAGGTATCACCATTCTCGCTTTACAGATGGTGTAAATGAGGAAAATGAATACTCATTTAAGTGTGTGCTTATTGCACACCTGCTTGAAGGAGCAGAAGGAGATGACGTGTTTTCTTTTGACTTTGGGATATATCTGTATCACCACAACATGTGAGAGAAGAGAACTGCTGATCCTAAGTAATGACATTCACCTTTCCAGGAAAAGGCAGAAAGGGAGCAGGCCTGGGGAGGAATCTCTAGCCTCCACCAACCAGCACGGAGGAAACCAGAGACAAAAGGGATAGCATAGATTATTTCCCCCTTAAAAGTGTGACATGGGAAAGAGTGCCTTGTGATCAAAGATCACAGAATTTTTTATGTTCTTCATCAACAGCTATGCAGTTATTTACTTCCCTTGCTTTGGTCAAAGTGTGTTTAGCCAGACACATAGCATGGGGTGAAGAGGGCAATGGATATCTTGTAGCCTTCATTCTTCTTTCCTCTGTTTGTGCTGCTTCTTTTATAATAGGGCTGGTGAATCTAACAGAGGAAATGACAAATCTGATCTTGAGAACATCCACTGTATACAACTGTTCAGAGGCCAGACCACACTGCCAGAAGAAGAATCCAGGGTAAATTTCTGGACTTTTTACAATAATCATAAACTTCATGTTATATAACAGAGCTATTTGACTTCAGGAAAAAAAATGTACTTTGTACCCTTTGACAAATCCAGGGAGACAAGCCTGTCAGTGTAAGAAAACCACTGATTTGAACAGCAGTATGAATACAGTATTGAAGTCTACCTGCCACTACAGCAGCACCACCATGTAAGGGTTTAGCACTGGACTGCAGCAAGCGGTCATAGTCTGTTGGAGTAACCCAGCAAGATACTGCAACCTACCTGGGTAACAACATAAAGCCAGGAACGTGCTGAGGGCTGTGTCTTACTCTGCTGTCTGTGAAGTCCACAGCAGTACTAGCTCTGTGATACTGATGCCCTAGAAGATCTCATTGCTCTTGTGTTCTGGGTTGGACTTGGGTGTTCTTGGTTGGGTCTGTCTTACATTAAACTTCCTCCAACTAATGCTTTGGCCAGTTTCATAAAACATTTCTGCTCAGGAGAAGCTTCACTAACTTCAGTGAAAGGGAAAATATCCCCATATTAAACAATTTTTCCATTGACTTTAAATTATGATTTTGCTTGAAGAGAAACAAAATGCTATTGAGAGCTGTGGGATTACTTTTTTGAATAAGGTTTATTGGAAAGAATTGAGAATGTTAGCTTTCATTGTCCATTAGAACTAGTCCATAAGGACTAGTTAGGGTAAGATACTCTCCAGAATACTCTGAACATCTGTGATCATCCACTTTGAAGAAATATTAATTTGACCAGAAAGACAACAGAGAAATCCTTTAAAAACCTGGAGAATGAAGAGCTTTACTATGGGAGGATCAAAAAAAAGACAGTTCACTTTGAACAGAATGGAGGCTGGAAAGGACTGCTCATACATACATATATATATATATATATATATATATATATATATATATGCAGCATGAGATAAAGTATATTTAGGCTAATGTGGCTAAAAAGCAAGTGGACTAAATTATCAAGGAATAAATTAGCTCTGGAAACATGGAAATACTTTCTAGTACCAGAGCAGTGAGATCCTGGAAATGCTTGCTTATAGCATTAGTGGGATCAAACAAACTGTTCTGCTTTCAAGTGAAGTTTCAGAAGTCTATTGATGAAGCCTGAAACTGAGAACTTCTTTCAAGTGACCTAGCACATCCATTCAAGTATTATTTCCTTGAAGCTACTTTCAGAAGACCTACCTATTTAAGTGCCTCTTGTGCAAAGTCAAGAATTAGATGCCAATCACAGTTACAAAAACACACAGAGCTTCTACCCAGCCCTGTGGGCAGGACACTGACCTGCTAGCGGTCTAGCCCATGCCTAAATCTCAGGATCTGAAAATGGTGTGTTTTCAAGCAAGACACGATCATACTTTCACCCATCCAACCTCATGAAAAAATTCCAGGCCTTTCAATGAAACTGACTTTGAAGTACATATCTGGAGTATAGGAAACCTGAATTAATTTCTTTCCACCTCCTACATGTCCTGAGAGATGCATGAAAAGATTCAGTTACCTGCTCAGAGTTGAGAGTTTTATGAAGTAGCAAGATACCTAGAAGTTACTGTGATTTGTTCTTGTGAATCTAGTTCCTATACTTCTGTAGAACATGATGCTTTAGTTAGGATATAGAGAAGGAATTCAGTTACAGACAATCATCAGCTTGTTATGCGTTGTGCATTAATGTACAACCTAACTAATGGCAGTAGAGCTTTATCAGTCAGGTCTGTAATGACCCAGCAAACTTCCTTAGCTCAAGCACACTCCAAGCGAATACATCTGTATTGCAGGTGATTTTGAAGGCAGTTTAGCCACTTCTGTAGTGTGTGCAATCCAAACTAATGAACCACCAGAACCCCAATTAGCTTCCCAAGTAACTTGATTTGGCATTCTTGTTGTGTGCTTCCAGAACGGGGAATACTATGTTGTAAGAAATTAAACTACATCCAATAAGACCCACTGGTTATGTCTGTACTTGTAAATTAAAGAATGCCAGCACTTGGGACAACCTGATCATCTAAATATTGTTTGAATGACCCCAGCATAATTTTTGTGCAGGCCAGGTAGTACTCTTCCAAGCAACACCCAGGCACGAGCTGGGAGTTGGCACGGTCCAGGAGCAGACAGTTTGCATGCAGCAACTGTGCTTTGCAGGCTAACAGGATTTAATTTTGTTAACGTAGCCAGATGAAAGCAGAAAGAGTCTTGGCACAGTACACATGCAGTAACTCCAGCTCAGTTTGGATCTTGCCAGATATGAGAAGACTTCATTCAGGCACTGCTTCTGCACTGTGCTCTGAAGCACATTATGCTAGCACAGAGGCAGCCCTGAATAGGAGACTGCATCTCTCCTGATGAAATCCTGTGCCCAGACTAAAAAGTCCTCAGAATTTGGTCCAGGAACAATCTATTGGCTTTCAATAGCCAGACCAAATTCAGCAGGGTCAACAATGAGCTAGTGCTAACAAGAGCAGCTGTAACAAAGCTGAGGTACAGATGGGCCTCTCTGCATTGTTCTCTGCAACATTATTAGCTCATTCACAATGCAAGATCCAAGCGGTCTCTGTGCATGCACTGGTGTTAGTCTTGATCTTACAAGCTTGCCTACTACTCAGAGCACCAGTGGCTGCATTGAAATACCTTAGTGACTTTGAGGGAACCAGCCCTGGTCCACTAGGTTCAGCGCTGAAATATATTTAGCAGCAGTTCTGGACACTTGATGCCTCTGACCTGTCAATCTAACAGATTAACCTAAAATGTAAATGGATTGTGAGTATTTATGCAGATGTGCACTGGTATATACATATATATATATATATATAAACATATACAGCCCATATATTTGAATTTAAATTAGAATTATATGATAAAATTTTAAAACTTTTAAATTATAAAAAAATGAACATCTTTCAATACAAACCTCGTACAAGACAAAAACACTTTGTACATTTGTTTCAGCTTAAATTTGACAGCAGAAATAAAGCTGCAAAACAGAATTACAGACCATGATTACCTGGTCCAGTATTTTGTTGTCCAGTATTGTGATGAGTATAATATCTATGTTACAATCCTCCTTAATATTTTTTACTTTTTTTTTTTTTTTTTCAGTCAGAGGAACAGTATTCTGATTAGTGCTTACCGTTATTAGGTCAAATCCCATGTATTTATACACATCACTGTATGTTACTGGTGCATCACAAATGAAGTACAGAAATACATTGGATGTTCACCTACAGGAATAGTATATCGTTACAAAACAGAACACTGCAACTGCCAATTCTTTTGTTATCGTTGTTATGGGTTTAAAAAAAAAAAACAACACCGAAGCCATTCCACAAGATCTGACATCCCTGCTTGATTAGTGTCATGCGAACATCCCTGCAGAACAGTCACTCTTATCTGAACTCCAGTCGGTGCTCATTTTCAGAACATGTTGGTCATTCTGTGTAAGGTGATCTTGCCCTCCACTTCCTCAGTCCAGAACAGTCATTAAGAAAAGAAGCTTTGCTCCCTGGAATATAGTAGGGACTATAGTTTATAATGAATCCACTAAAACAAGCAGCATTAACCCTGGAAAGGTAAATAGTTGAGTAACTTAGCCCACCTTGCTGTAGTTTTTTGTTTGGGTTTTCAAAGTCATCTACTGCAACACATTGAGAAACAGGAGACAAACACAGTTAACTCAGCCATTCTCCCACGTTATTCTGCTTCTTCTTGCTGGGTGTCTGTTTCATGCACTCTATTTACTTCTTGGTTTCAAAGTCTTCCTCTTTTTTTTTTTTTTTTTTTTTTTTTTTTTTTTTTTTTTTTTTTTAAATCATGCATCCCTTGGCTCACTCATTCTTGCACCTCCAGCCTTTGCTGTTTTCAGTCTTTAATGATGATCTTTCAGTTAAGAGCTCACCAAAGTGTAGATCATGCTGAATGTAAAAGAAAGACACAATATGAAAGTATCTTTTTGAAGCATACAGAGCACTTTGATTTTTATAACCCTCAACTGTCTGTTCCTCAGGTCTGACTGTAATGGCCTGTGCTTTCCTTTGCATTCTTTCTATCTCTCTAAAGCATCTTAATTATGGTGTATTCAAGATGGGTATCAAAAAGCACTCAAGAAATAACAAATTCATTATCGAAATCCTACTGCACCACAAGCTGTGTTTGAGCTTATTAAAGTGCAGTCTGATGTCTGAATTTGAACAGAGAAGAAACAAAATCATTTTGCTTTAGCATGTTTGATCTTTAAAACTTCAACCAGCAACTCTCAGCAGGACAGGGAACATTTCCCATGAAACTGCATTATTTTGTTTCCTTTGGGAAAAAAAAAAAAACAACTTGCAGTAGAAGAAACATAAAATGCAGACACCAGCTGGAGTGAATCCATACATATTAAATGCAACTCTGAAAAGTGAAGAAATCAGAATATATTGCCACGGCTCCATTTTACTGCAATTCTAATTCTGACAATACCCTGGAAAGCACAGCAAAATTGAATGTAATTAATACTATTTTATTGAGCACCAAGCAGTGGATTTTGGATTATGGCCACATTTTAGAATGAAGAAAGCAGGGCTCAGAGGAAGCTGCACAACAGAAGAGTCCCAGCAGAAACGCTAGACCACACTGCAGAGCTGATTTGGACAGGGTCTTTTAGGCATCACAAAAAAGTGGGGTTAAAAATCCTTCTCTCTCAAGCCATGCCTTGCCATCTCTCCTTGCACTACCAACAGAGGTTGTCTAGCATAACTGCCATGCTTTCCACTCTCAGTCCCATGAAGAGGACTGGCAGGCAAAGGTGCACAGCCCAAACCCACAAAGGTACCGGATCTTAAACTGCTCCGATTCTCATGCCCCATCCATCTTAGTGTGAGTTAGACACCTACCAGCTTCTGTAAGTCGGGGCCCTTCTACTTTCTTTCTTCCTCTCATGTATGCAGACACAAGCACATACACATGCACATGAGGACAGAAAACTTTGTTCTCAATAGCATTTAAAAGTAATATTGAGAAACAAAAACCTGCAGCAATGACTCCTCAGGATATGGGGAACAACAGAACAGCAAAGGAACTGGTGATCAAAGGAGAAATGACATTTATCTTCTTCCACCAGTGTATAAACCCGACTGACGGAGGGATTACTGCATGCAAGACTGTCTTGAAGAGGCACTCTACACAAATACATTATGGAAGGAGCAGAAGAAAGGCATCATAGAAAACCACCTCCATTTAAAGTGGGTTAACCTTTGTTGTCAAATAGTTTTATGGTGCGATTACAAGGATGACTAAAAGCACATGGATTCTGCCAAGGCCTTACCTCAAACATGATCCTCACGTATTCTTGCACTGGGCATTTCTGACTGTGCGCTAAGGGCATCTGACAGCTGAAAGGGGCAGGGGGGTCAACACAGGACTGGGGTGTGTATCTTCAAGAATGTACTTAAATTAGGGGTTTGGACCATGCACGGGCTTACCCTGTCATCAAAGGGAGTGTGTAGGAATGACTACAGGCATGATGCACCCCATGTTCCTACCCACCACCTACCTACCCATTTACTTACCATCTTGAGCATCACTACACCAGCAGATGTAGTATTTTTCTTATAATTCCCTTGACTCATAAGAACATTATCATTGTCATTTGATGTAATGTCATTATCATAACATTTGCTATTTCACCCATCCTAAGAGACTATGTAGAGGAGCAAAAATTTTTAGCTTGGGTTGTCCCTGGGGCCTGGCTCAGGCCTTAGATAAACAGTTAATATTCTGTACTGAGGTTTCAGCAGATGTAAGCACATGCTTCTGTAAGTAAGCATGCTTCCCTGAACCAAGATCAGAAGCAAGTTTTATAAAGGTTAAGGAAATGGGCCAATTGGTTCCAGTCATTCCTGAACACAATTTCACATGCCAGCTGAAAAGCAGCTACTACTTCCTCAGTGAGATGTCCAGACTTACCAGTACAGATAGTAGAAGAAGGAAAGGAGATAGAAAGCTAGCTTACACCAGGCCTCTTTTTGACAGTAACTCAAGGTATCTGCATTCATGACTGCAGGTGGATCATATGCTAGCTCTGAACTATCTGCTGGGCAACGAAAATACCTGAAAGAGCAGGAGAAGACATATGGAATGACTCTGTAATATTCTGTATTAAATATGTGCAGATATACAACCTACTGATCACCAGCTCAGAGGAAACATCCTCTATGCTATAGGAGGAATTTTCCTCTCTTTTTCAAACCTCTATTTCCAGACATTGTTAAAAGACTGTTCTTATAAAACCGAGCAACTCATGAACGCGGACTTTCTGCGTTCTATTAAATCTTTAGATTGAAACATACCCCCTTCCTATATAGTTATTTCTGGCTCACTCACTAACAACTAACATATTGTGAGTGACAATATGTGGCAGCTTGTGATCACAGCATGGAGGAAGGATTACTGGGCTTTAACTGCATCTACACAACTGATTTCAGACATGATGAAAGGTGACAGTCTCAACCAACTGATAGCTCAGTTCCTCCAGCTCTGAAATGGAAAAAAGTCAATAAGGAGTAATATAAGAGCTGGCTGACTAATGTTTTCTACACATAGCACTGCCCAAAAATTTTTCATCCAAATAATTTTAATTGGAAAATGTTTTTCTTCTTACATAGGAGAAATTTCTGATTATTCTCAGCAATGACTGGATGTTTGAGAAAATCCTGAGGAAAGAATTTTTTTTTTTTTTTGGCAAAGGAGTTTTTGTCTGTTACTTTGCAGTAAAAAGCAAAAGCAAACCAAAAAGAAGTCCCCAACAATGGTTAATGAGCTGCTTTAAGATTAGCATGAATCAGATGAAATATTGTTATTTCTGTTGCTTTGAAATAGTAATGTAAACACTGAAGATTGCTGGGATTGCTTATAGATAGATAGATAAATAAACAGACAGCCAGGTAGATATAAAAGCCCCAAACAAGTGACCACCAGCAAACTTGGCAAGTAAATGTTCTCATAACAACTTTGCCTTCCTCCCTTCCAGTGTTAGTAACATCCACTTACAATCTCTAATAACATTACAAATTCTTTTACAGAGACCACAGGTGAGACCTTGCTTAATTATCTTCATTGAGATGAAGATACTACACAGTATCTTCCCATGGTTTTGTGCAGGACTTCACACAATGAACCAAAACCTGTCTGTAGTTAAACCAGTAGAAACTATGGAGTAATTACAGCAAAGCATACGGAGAATCATGGAAACAAAGACAATCAAAAGTTCTCACCAAAGGTTGATACCATTATTTAGAGTCTGACGATTTTCACCTTGGACATAAATTTTTTAAAATTTGTTTATAAAAACTTTTAAAACCAGTATTATTGTCATACAACGTGACAATGTTAGCCCTTAGTGAAACAGCACCATAAAACATTATTATTTTTGTTGCGCCCAACCAATAGGGAGAAAAGCACTCATAGCTTCACATAATTTAGCTTTTTGCGGACTATACTGGTACTCTAACTTCTGAATAATACACTTTATCATATGCCTCTCTATTACTACCAAGCTTTTGCAGAAAACAGTGTAAAAAAGCTACTAGTTTTTACTTCCTTGTTGAGATAATGGTTTTGCCTTTTTTACGGAACTATTCTCAAGCTATTTCACAACAGGAGATATATGCTACCACATGTATCTTTGTAACACAAAGAGAACCTGACAGACAAAAATAACCTGTGCTTTTACAAACACTGTGGAAATGCAAAACTAGTGAAGACTCCAGATTGACAGCCACAAAAACTGATGTCTCTTTCTTGGTTATCTTCAGAGGCAACAGAAGGCTGATCCTCCACTGGAATGCAGAGGAAGATGCAGCAGCAGCACCTGCACTGCCTTTCCAAAAAACATTAAAGCTGCTCAACAACAGCTCTTACGTGATCAAGTCTGAAAGCTCCTCAGTGAATATAAACACATAGCAGAGGCGAATATAAACACAAAGCAGAGATCCAGAGTGGAAACACTCCCCACTTTTTCATGTGGGCAGGGTGAAGACAACAGCTCTTCACCTACCACAATCCCTACTCCAAGAGTCTCTAAGAGCAACTTCTCTTGCAGAACAGAAACTCTCTACTGTACAGCAAGAAACAGCTTACTTTATATTGAAAAAAAGAAAGCATAAAGCTGCCAACGAAGATGAGAAGCAAAATTCCATCAACCTGTCCAGTCTCTATTTCACAGCTCCAATGGAAAGGTTTTCTTGCTAGGGCTGAATGAATAGGTCCAAAACCTTTCAGATATTAACTGCCTTATAACTCCCTGTCTCTGAAGTATTTAGAGCCTCACCAAGTTCCACTTTCAGATTCCAGCCTATTTAATTTCTAAGTTTTCGTTCAGTTGTGATGAGTGCACCCTGACAGTCTTCAGAATATTTATCTAAGTTAGTAACTGAAAGTCACGTTTATATTATTATGTGGGTTTTTTACCCATCCCAAATATTCATGAAAAATATTTTACTTTTCCTAAGTTTCAGTTGCTTCTAGTCAAAAGCTTCTAGGCAAAGATACTCAGCCATACTCCTATCACTGCACTTTATAATTCATACAATCTGAGTGTGTGCCGAGCTGGCAAATAAGGCTAACAAGCAGTCAGCATATAAAAGATGGGCTTACCTCCAGAAGTGATAAAAAAGCAAAGGAACATTTAACCCCAGTGTCAGCCACTCTTGAGCGCACAAAAACATTATGCAGAAAAGACTATGGATAGAGTACTCCGGCAACACCAGCTAAAAAGAAAGGAATGGAAATAACAGACGTCAGTAAAACACCTCTTCGATTTTAGCCACTTAAGCAGTTTTTTGGAAAACAAACTATCTCTGCTAGTCTTCCCTGTGTCTGCCCCCAGACATACCTCAGTTGACAGGGCGGCTTGGCTATGAGCAATGAGTACAAGATGTAGTGTGAGGTTTGTTCAGGCCCTAACCAAGGCCGTACTCCAGGGGCTTGTTGAGAAGCTTCGGACAAATCACTTACTGTCTTAGCTGGTACTCCAGATTTCTGTCTACAAAATGGAGATTACATTACTGCCTCCCTCACAGAAACATTGTGAGACTAAATGAGTGTCTGTAAAAGAGTTCTTAAAGAACTGTTTCATTACTGATGCATTCAGAAAGGAAATAATAAAGCTATTACTGAAGCTTCACTTCTGTATTGCAGGAGTGTCCTTGGAAAAATAAAAGGCTGCTTCTACAATTTTGATATGTTATATACACACTAAAGAGATCAAATCCATTACTAAGTCAGTCTTGCCAGCTAAAACCCACTAAGACAGGAAACTCATTTCCTCAGTAAATCCATGTCTCCTCACACTCCTTGTTTCAGACCCAAGATGATTGTTTCTATTAAAAGAGAAAGTGAGTGGGCAGCTGGCAGAAGAAGAAATTTGTGATGTTGATTCAGAGTAGTTACTTCTAAAGGCATTTTTCTTTTTTCACTGCTTTCTCATTTCTTAGCTGGCTTTCTTCTGTTGTTTTCTTCCAATGCCTTTTCTCAGAACTCTCTATTTCTTTACTTCAAGTCACACAGGAGATTAATTTCCAGCAGTACATATTTCTCAAAGCTATCCAATCCCATACACAGTTCATCTGCATCTCTTGCTGCATACTGGAGCTACATCAACCAAAGTTAAATCACAAAAAGCATTTGAGGGGCTTCCTCTGATGTAAATTCATTTTCATCTGTCAAGTAAAGTGAGACCTGTGTTTGAAAACAATGTAAAAGCTACTACTATACAGCTACTCCCAATGCCTACCTAATCCCATACAGCTCTGATGCAATGATTTTCATCTTTTGGTTCTAGGAGTATTTCCACCTCACATGGAACATCTTTTTTTGGCTTTCATTTAACTTCACTACTTGAAGTAGTTAACACATTCGGTTATCTCTGTGTCTACGCCTTCAACTTAAACATTCTCAAAAGATTATCTTATGTGGATGACAAATCATAATAGAATTACATAGTTCAGATTCCAGATGGTAGTTATTTATCACTGCTGGATTTTATTTTTTTCATTTTTAGAATGTGATTTACAACATGACTATAACCTTTCCCTAAAGAATGATTCATCTTCATCACAAATTGCAGACAAGAAAGGTCTTCATGATGTACATCTACCCACTAAACATCACAAAACTTAAAAAGCATATTACATTCATTATCACGTATTTGATTTCTGATTTCAACACAGTCCACATACTTAGCAAGAACACAACCCTGGTGCCTGATCATGCCTGGCTGGTAATAACATGGAAGGAAACCCATGGTGAAAATTATGCAGAGCTTAAAAAGCAAAACAAAAGGAGAAATCTGCTGTGGAGCTAGAAAGAAAACAAAGGAAACAGTGAACTCTCAGAAACAGTCACAGTTTCTGGAGTAAATTAAATCTACCTATGCTTTTGACAGAATAACAAATGGGTCATTTATGTCTCTTCACTCTTTTCTTGGAGTGATACTTTGCTGTGGATATAAATAAAGGATCAATGCTGATCCCAGTTTCTGAAGACAATTCATGCAAAGAAGCCCAGCCCACAAAGCCAATTACAGCTTTTATTCAGGTGACTTACCTAAGAGTCCAAATCTAAAAGGAGGTGAGAGAATTGAAAGCATAAAGTGTAGAAAGCCACTAATAGCAAGGCTTGTGTGGTAAAGTAAACTGAGTAACTAAATAACTGAAAAATAACACTGCCTCAGTTCTTGGCTGTAAGAATCATCCTGCAGTTTGACACGATGCCCTCCGAAACCAATGGAAACTTTCAATCAACTTTAGCAAACACGGGATTTGGCTCCTGGAGAGAAGAAAGCTGGCTGAGAAACAAGCAACAGTCAATCCTTGTTGTTCCTGCTGAGGTAGTCAACTACAGCGGTAACCACTGCGATACAGATATCTGTGCAACAGGAATTAAACTAAGCTTTTTAATTCATTCCTGGGGGAGTGTATGAAGCTGTCAGATGGTAAATATTTTGGGATATAAACACTATACTTCTATTTTGAACCAGGAACACCCTGATTCAGAAGACAACCTCTGTTTTCTAACCATCTTGAGAGGGTTATGGAACACGCAGCTGAAAGAGAAACTGGCAAAGCAACACAGTTCTTAAGGGCTGCAACTTGATTGCTTTGAGTCCCAAGCTAATGGCATTACAAATTTATCACCAGAAATTCTGCTGGCTGACATTTACTTGTGGAAAACCACAGGAAAGACTGAAAAGGACGCCAGCTTCTAGCCCAAAATGCTGCTAATCAGAAACATCTTTTGCTATAACATAAGCAAGGGAAAGAAACTACTATACCTTTCTAAGTTTTGCTCTGGTATGTATAGTTAAGTAAACAACCATACCAGTACATATTCAAAATCCTTATTCACAATCCATCATTTGCATTTAAAATGTAAAATCTTAAGTAGATACCATACTCTTACTATTACCATCTCACCATAAATATTCCATGCATTCAAAGTAGTGCACACATACATGCACAGGTAGATTCCTCCCCCCTAATTCCAAAGAAAATAAGGCAGGCTTTGCTATGTATAGACATCTAGGTTTGGCTAAAGCATGGGAAAGCAAGCACCGAAGCTAAGCACCTGTCAGCAGTTTCTTTGTGTTTACAGGAATACAAAGATCTCTGTAGATAGCAACTGCAAAAGGGCATCTCGGGGGAGGCTCAGTCCTAAATAATTTTATTCGGTTTCCTATTTCCTAAATATATTCTGTTGTTCTTATACAACAGATAAAGCCATCCTTTTCTGTCAGTACTTCTCCTCCTTATTCTGTTTATTACATATGGACACCTCCTTCTCAAAGGTAATTTTGCTTTTACAGAACATTGTGTCATTTTTACATGGAACGACTCTTATAGTTTGTCTTGACAGTAAACAGGACACATAAAATACCTCGCAGAAACCAAAACTGGGAAGATATTATAGAAGGAATAGTAATCTCCTTTCATCAGTGCTATTAAATTCTGACGCTTAGCAAATCAACTGCAACAAGTGAATCAAACCGTTTTCTCAGTCACTGCTAAGCCACTGAAATGTCAAGACCTCTTGCTCCTTTCCAGCACTTTGCTTAGGACCAATACTCCCAAGTGCTACACAATAACAGTAATTCTCACAGAACTGCTGTTTCTTCCCCCAAAAGACTCTGTCTGCAGTTGTCTCCATCTGTGCATGCCAGCCTCCATACTGTAATCACAGATTTTACAGCATACCCAGAAATTGCCAGCCGTTAGACACTCTACCCTTCCCAGGGTTTCTGAGAGTCTTCATTACGCTGTTAAAGGCCAAGACGACATCCCTTCTGAATGCCTACCTTCTCACCCCACAGATGGCGGGAAAAAAATGGAAGAAAAGTGCAGGTTGAATCTCCTTCACCTAATGTAAGAGCTCTGGTGATCACCCAAGTGGAAAGCAAGTTGTTCACCTTACAAACACACAAGCCCTTTTCCATCCATCTAAAAGCAACAAGAAGCTGAAAACACCATGCATGCACTGAATCACTCCAGAGCCCCAAATCGGGCCTGATCTAAGTGCACGCTGCTTTACTGCTGTGGCTAATGCTGCTGCACCTACTTCCACGGAAGGATGGCTGCAGCTTGCCCCTGCGGGGCTCACTGTGCTGCTTTTTGCCACCATACCGCTTTGCTAAAGGTGACATGTAGAATTTTTCCTCACAGGTAGCAGGGAAAGAGGGGATGGACATGCACCCAAGGATTTCAGAACACAAGAGTTATTTTAATTACACTCTATAGCTGATCCTAACAGAGCCTGCCAGAGCTAACCGGGGTTACTGAGGAGCATAAACTGCTGAATTAAAGGCATTGTGAGACCAAAGGGAGACAATTATTTACATGACTGAAATTCTGCTAATTGAACAACATAGACCAAAAGGCAGAAACGTAATGCAAGCAAATGGGGGGGACGGGGGAGCAGAAACACACAGGAAAATAGTAGCAGCATGTGCATTAGCCCAGACCAGGCACCTATGTGGAATGTACACACGTTGAAAACAATAAATCATATCTGTTTGCTTCTGCTGTTGCACAAACTAAGGAAGCAGGGTCAACTGTGAATAACTTAAATACACAGACCATACATTTTAACATTTACAACAGTTTTTAACATGCTGCTTGCACTTCACTGTATGAAACACATAAAATTTACTGTCGAAATACAGGAAGGCTTCCCACTTACATTTTCTAGTGTATCTTTCTAATCTACTTTAAATTATTTGAGTTACTTGACTTCCAATACCTCCTCTGAAAGGCTGCCCTAGAGCCCAATCCAGTGCTGTCACAGTAAATATACTAAGGTTTTCAGTCCAAATTTTCGAATTCAATTTCTTTCAATTCTCCTGTTAAAATCCACACTTGCTTGCGTCTCTACAAGCTCTGTTCTCTAGTTGCTTATAGCAATCACTTAGAAATTCAGTTGCATAGCTAAAATTGTTATAGCACAAACCTATAACCACAGCATTTTAAGCAATTCAAAACCATGTTAGGCAAACCTCTAGAAGTATTTAACAGTTTGTTACAGAGATGTATGCAACTAGTTGAAGAGAAAATGTCTGGAAAATGGATTCCAGTTCATCAAAACAACAACCCGCAGATGAACTTACTCAGTTCACATATACAGGTTTACGTTTTATCTGAAGGAAAGCAATGGTGCACACATGCAAGACACAGTGTTAACAAACACAGAGCATAAATAAAAAAAAAAGGATATAACT